GAAAACCAAAAAAAGCAAACTTAACCAAAACCCCAAAACCCCAAAACCCCAAAACCCCAAAACCCCTTTTCCTGCTCTAAAATGGACCGGTTAAAATTTATACATAATTATTTGAAAATGCAGAACGTTAGACTAAGTAAGGCTTATAGCCATAAGCAGCCACCCAGTGATTACTTCAAGAAAGTGAGAAAAAGTGAAGGACCTCAGAAGAAAGGAGAGAAGTTGTATAAGATAAATAACTATGTTTCACAGGATTCAAGTCCATATGAGACCAATTCTGTGTCTTCCTCTGCTATTATGGGCAATTTTGGTACTGGTAAGGCTGATTCTAACTGTAATAATCAAAGCTCACTTTCAGACCTTGATTTTCTGCGACCATCCTGATATTTTGTGAAAATAATTCCATTCTAGCTTCTTCAGAGATAGAAAATAATAAGAATTTTGAAGTTTTGCTGAAGCAACAGAAGGAATTGCTAGATTTGCAATCAAGTGTTCAAAAGTCTCTCCAAATGATACAGGAGAGGCTCAAAGAAGAGAAGACCACAAAAGTTATGAAGAAGAAAAAGGATAATTTGGCCAGGATCTCAAGTGCTTCATGATACAAGAAGGAAGCAGCCACTCCTGAAAAGACTTATCAGGGATCTTCAATGCTGCACCGATCCCAAAGTGGAACTGGCCTTTCAATGGGGACTAGTTTTAAGAGAAGGGTTAAGAACAATCAATCCTTTGTTTCACATGCAAAGGGATATGTTGATTATTCAGAAGTTACAAACGAGGGAGATTCTGTTATTCCGAAAGAGATGGTCTCTCCATGAAAGAAAATTGTGAATAAGTCCATTTGCAAAAATGATGGATCAGCAAGAAGAACAAGAGCAATGCGGTCACATGTTGCTTCAAAGGAGCCAACCCAGAGAAGTTGTATGCTGAACACCAGTATAAATAATGCTAGCTCTATTGGAAAGACTTTCCACAGGAAGAAGAGAGATAACAAATCTTTTATCAACTTCAATCCTAAAACTGATATTAGGGCAAATACTCCATTTTTGAACAGAAAGACAAACAAGACTCCTTGCAAGAATAACTTGAGCATTATCCATAAGAGCCAGAAGGATATTGAGGGGAGAGAGATGTCTAGGAATAATCCAACTAAGATGCTCAGGCTTGAGCTTTTGAAAGCAGGAAGAAATGTCACCATGAAACATTTGAACAACTTATGCACTAGAGCAACACCCGAAATAAAATAAGGCAATGCAGGTCTTCTGTATGCTTCTGAACGTATTCAAGCTTGAAGAGAGGAGGATCAAAGTCACAACTTATATGAACTGGGGCAGCTTATGAAAATATATATGCAAGCATAACACCTCGATCACATCTGAAGTGATCAGTGCTGCCAACAAGATCGAGAAGGGAGCTTTCAATACTGACCTGATGGAGAAAATGATCGATGAGTTCCAGCTGATCGACCTCAGAGGCAAAGTTGACTCCTCCCTGAGGGTCATTTATGGGTACCTCAAGGCAGCTGTAGAATTTTATGATTTAAAACAAAACCCTCGACAAGAAACTGATAAGAAATGCTATTCTTCTGTTATAGATTCCCACCTAAATCAGTAAGATATTTTATTTTAGATTTAAGAATTTTTAATAATGTAGGGAAAGATCGTTGGCAAAGCCACAAATCACTGAAAGACTTGAAAGCAAAAGGAAGTACAGCGACTTAAGCTGATCCAAAGATGGCAACAATATTATGAAGAAGACTTATAAGATCAATCAGAATGAAGATTCCTTTTATTCCAGCAAGAAATCAGGAAATTATCAGAAACACGTATGGCTCTCTGACTTATCTTGTAGAAGAATACAGCCCCTCAAAGAGTCAATGAGAGTGTCAAAACAATCTTGATGAAGCCAGTCAAGACAATTAACGAAAGTTTTGAGAAAAGATCCACACTAACAAGATCCTTTTCCAATTTTTCAAGTAATTATCTGAAAATTAATTAGTCTAGGAAATCCCAAAAATACATTTAAACTAAACAGGGATGCTGCTCAGCATAATGAAAATGAGAGTGAGCCGAACGATGCTTCTAACTTGCCTTCTCCTGTAAAGCATAACAAGCCATTAATGACGAGGATCAACCCTAAGCTTGCTCAAGACTGTAACATAAGTTCCTCTAAGGAGTCAATACGGAAGGTTATTATTGAGTCTCCTCTTAAGGAGATGAACAAATCTATCAGTAATAATAATTTATCATTGATGCAGATTGATTCTGTAACGAAGATTATTACTGAAGAATCTTTTGAAGATAGAAGCAGCAATTTTTATGAAACTCCGAAGTCAATTTTTAATACCTTCACTAATGAACAACATCCGTTCGATTCTTACAGGAGATATGCAAGTGAGCATGAGCAAGAACTTAAGGTGAAGCCTGAGAAATTTGAAAATATTGAGTTTGAAGAAAGCGATTCTAGCTATTCTGAGCTGAATATTGATCTAAAGCAGTGAGATAAGGCTAGTAATGACTCTTCCAATATGACTCCGAGATTAGAGAGACAGAAGGATATTCAAACACCCAAGAAAATGAACAGAGAAATCACTTTCACAGAAAGTATGGCTAGGCCAAAGCTGTCTCCTGAGCATATTGCCATAGTTCAGAAACTGACAAGCAATAGAAAGAGAGAAATTGAGGAGCAAGAGAACGAACTGAGTCCAACATCCGTTCACAACTGACAAGTTCCCGTGTTCACACTTGAAAGCACCAAAAGCCTGGAGAAGGAGAACTCAGACATGTTCTCAAGCCCTGAGTCTATCAGAGAGAAAAGAAGACTAGAAATAATGGAGAGGCTCGACAATTTATTATAGCCAATTGTGTATATTCCTAAACCATTGATTAAACATCAATCTTCTTGATTGAGTTAGGGGTTTTGGGGTTTTGGGGTTTTGGGGTTTTGGGG